TATTTATATCAATCAATGACAGTTATCCATTTTAATATCACATGGCCTACATGTTGGCCAGAACCAAAAAAAAACATAAATTAATCAAAAAGTGTGTAAAAGAAATTGTTATTATTCTATTCTGACTTGTAAAACAAACTATTATTTTCTATGCTTTCTCCAGATCTCACCGAGATAAATCACAGAATGTATCAAAGCTAAGAAAGTAGCTCAAATACAAGCACTTCATCCACTGGAAAGGAAGAAATGGTCAAGTATGAAACTGGTAGCTCAAATACAACCACTTCATCCACTGGAAAGGAAGAAATGGTCAAGTATGTACAACCACTTCATCCACTGGAAAGGAAGAAATGGTCAAGTATGTACAACCACTTCATCCACTGGAAAGGAAGAAATGGTCAAGTATGAAACTGGTACTTCCGAGGTAATCCAAATTTTTTTCTTTATTTACTTGCCTCAGTATTCAATCCAAGACCACTTTCACACCAAGCAGTATTCCACATCTTGAACAGTTGATAAATGGAAACAAGATCAAACAAGATGATTAATTCTGAGCTAGTTAAGAAAAAATTGGGAAGTTCATAAAACAATATGGCTCCTGGGCCAGATAATATTTCCACAAGGGTTTTGAAGGAGGTTAAAGATTATATATGTGAGCCACTTACTACTATTTTCTGTCAGTCCTTGAATAGTGGGCAGGTACCAGAGGATTGGAAGTTAGCTAATGTAACTCCTCGTATCAAGGGAGGTAATAAAAATTGTCCCAGTAATTATAGACCCATTAGTCTTACATCAGTTGTGGGAAAAGTTTTAGAAAGTCTGTTAAAAGATGCTTTATAAAAGTATTTGAATAAAATTTAGAATTTCACTGGATAGTCAACACTGTATCACAAAGGAAAAATCTTGCCTTACAAATCTTTAGACATTCTTTGAAAAGGTTACTGCTTATGTAGATAAGAGTAAGGGTGTAGATTTGGTGTATCTGGATTTTCAGAAAGCACTTGACAAGGTGCCACATAAAAGGCTTGTAAAAAAATTCTTTCCATAGGTGTGGGGGATAAGTTAGCCAATTAGATAGAATGACCCTTGAAGAAACTTTAGCCCCGATTAAATTCAGGATTAGGTGTGGGGGATAAGTTAGCTAATTAGATAGAATGACCTTTGAAGAGACTTTAGCCCCGATTATATTCAGTATGGGATGGTTCTGCTGGATGTGAGTACACATCTAGTGGAACCTTCTCACAGTGGTTAAACAGTTACTTAT